GCTGTGAAACCCTGGGACAATTTTTATTAGGTTCCTAACTTTGTTCAACTGTACAGAGTTTTTGTTTCTGTTTTGTTTTTTTCCAGGCTTTTCCCCCCACATCCCACTACTGTCATCCGCCCCCCCCCCAACTGGTCATCTGTGGACAAAGAACCACCCATAACTGTACCTCGGCCACCCAGGACCTCCATATGCAAACGCACAGGCTGTTTACGGAACAAGCGCAGCTGGCCGAAGGAGCCAGGGCGGGAAGAAAACCCAGCTCACATCTCACTTACCCATGCACCTAGCTCCTCCTTCCCCGAGGCTCCTCTGCTTCTGAGCCGGGCCCCGCCCGCCCCTCCCCGTGTGCACAGCAGCTGGACCTCCACTGATGCCTCAGTCTGCACCAGCTGGAGCCCACCCTCCCACACCGGCCGTGCCTGGGGGCCTCATGTGCGCCCTGTCTTCTCTCTCTGGGGCCTCTTGGCTGGAAGGGCTGTCCCACCTTTCTCCCCTTACTGCTCATCCTCAGAGACTCTCCTGTCACAGACTAGATGACATCATACCCAGCAGACCAAACATCCTCATCGAAGGAAGTCTGAGGTCATTCCATTATAGCATCTCCTAAGACATCCCACTCACGGATGTGCTAGGAAGGCCTTCCCTACATGTGCTGTCTGGCGTGTTGTCCCCTGTTGTCCCCAGTTGTCCCTGCACACTGGGGCCCCAGGCTCCAGGCCGGGCCCCGCCTAGGGCTGCCCTTCCCTGCTCCTCCCGCTTGCGGCTCAGTCTCTCCCATCACTGCACGCCGAACCCCGCTGTGCTGATTCCGCTCATTGGTTTTTTCCCAGACAGCTGAACACACGCCAGCGGACACCTAACTTTTGGCATTAAGAAAAACCTTTCCAAAACATGATGTATTTTTTCCCACCCCTGTAAAAGACAAAAGCAGACATCATAAAGTCTTTTCTTGGGACCACTAAATGGTAATTATTTTCAAGCTACTATAAAAGTGTTTTTAATAATTCCTATGATCACTGTAGGAAAACATGGGAAATACAGATAAACAACAAGAGAATGGCATCACCTGATACCTTACCAACCAGAGGCAATGACTGGTGATTTTTCGTTATAGAACTAACTTTCTGGACTTTTTCCTAAGCAAATACACTTCTCCAGTTTGGGACACAAATTCAGTGTCCCCCATTTACTCAGTAATTGCTGCACTCCATGTGTTCAAGTGAACAGGAGGCCTCATCCCACACCCACCGTTACATACTCCCCCACAGAGCACGGGAGCACCTGGGCCCCGGGCAGTGACTGCAGCTGCAAAGGGCAGCTGGGGAGAAGCTGGAAGTCCCTGAGGCCCTGAGCCCACTGCGCTGGCCCAGCACTGTGCTATCTCTACGGAGATGGTCTGGCAAAGCCTGCTGGGATCATGCCTCACAGGGCCTGCGCCCTGCCCACAGTCAGGCTCCAAGGTTACCACTCTTACATCTCACACTTCCAAGTTCAGCCACATTCTCAAGCTGAGTGTGACCGTGGCAGAGGCAGCTGACTCCAGGGAGGCTTCTGTCCTCAGCCACACTCTGGGGCGGGCACATCGGGGCCCTGAGGTTAAGCCAGGTCACCAACTCCGACCCTCCTTCTTCCTGGTGCCACCCCCTTGGGGACTGTGGGCTCTCCAGCTGGGGCACTTCACCCCAAACTCCATCACAGGAATTCCACCTTCAACATGAAGGGCCTTGTCCTCATCCTCTTCTTCCCCAATGGGCAAATCCACGTAGGCACTCAGGGGAGCCTGCCTTTGCCAGGCCCCCAGCACCTGCTGCGTCCTTTCCCCGGGAAATCAGGGCGCCCCGGCCTGACCTGTGTGTGACCCAGAGGGGCCACTCAAGGGACGCTTCCCTGAACAAAATGCACAAAGCTTTTGACTGCTGGGCCCCAACCCCATTTTCCCCATAAATCCTGTGGTTTTCACTGCACAATGTGCACAGCTAGTGATTTTTAAGAATGCATGTGTCACATTATGTGCAGAAGTGACTGTTCCAGCAATAATTTCTTAGCTTTGATGAAGTGCTATGGTTATGTAAGGAAGGGTAAGCTAGAGAGAAGAGTATACATGAAGTCTCTGTATTATCTTTGCAACTTTTCTGTAACTATAGGATTATTCCAGTAAAAAAGTTATTTTTTTTATTTTTATTTATTGATTTGAGGGGGGAGGGAGGAAGAAGAGGGAGAGAAAAATCGACTTGTTGTTCCACTTACTGATGCATTCATTGGTCGTTTCTTGTGTACGCCCTGACCGGAGATGGAACCTGCGACCTTGGCCTGTCGGGGGACAGCGCTCTAACCAAGTGAGTAGTACCCAGCCAGAGGCTCCACTAAAAAGTTTAGTAAGTTTATGATGTATATAAGTACGTGAGGCCAAGGTCTTGGCATCAAATTCAGCAGTAATAATAACTGGTAACAGTTAAGTAAGTAGCACTTGCTTGGTGCCAAGCACCGTTCTCAGTACTTCATGCACATTAACTCTCTGGTCATTCTCACAACACTAAGAAGTAAGCGCTGTAATCATCACCATTTTACAGGTGAGAAGACTGAGGCACAGTTGAAAACTCGTCCAAGACGACGGATCTGGACAACGTGGCCCTAGCATCAGTGTTCCGACCCCTGCGCTGTTACACTCTCCCAACACATGCCTGTTTAAAATACAGCCTTTTACACCAGACATTTCCATTATTCTGGAAAGGCTTGAAACGGGAAGAGGCACAAATTTTATAATTTAAATAACCCTTCTAAAATGTGCTATAACACCTGAAACTAATGTTATATTAGATGTCACTGCAATTGAAACATAAGAAAATAAATAAATAAAATGTGCTATAAACGTCAAAAATACCAAAGTCAAAAAAGATAGTATAAAAATGTCACCTTTCTACTTAAAAACCACAACAGTCACCGAGAATATAGAGTATAAATGTTTGATAGCAATGACAAACTATGGGTGGTAGTTAATTAAAAGATGTATCACCTATGACAGAAAATGTGATTTCAAAGTATCACGGAACTCAGTCACATTTCATCAATGTCAAAATCACACGGTAATTTAAGAGTGACAATATAACATACAAAATAACATACCATGGAAGTTTCCCAGAAATCATAATCATAAAATTTTGTTGACTGAAAATTGGTAAATGAGATTCCGTTTAAATGCAAAGGAAAAAGTCCTGCCTGAGGAATCTCAAAACAGAGCAGTGAAAAGGTCCGCTCGTGGGAGAAACTCACTATCACTGTCCAAAATATCACACAGCTTGAACCCTAACATGCAGAACCACACCCACCCCAACTGGTGCACGCACTTGTTCAAAAACACTTAACTGAGCCTGTACCCTGCACTCTTCTAGGCACTGAGGCTATGCTAGTAAACACGATGGAATTTATCCTCATTCGGTCGTGCGTTCATTCATTCATTCATCCAACAAGTATTTGCTGGGTGCCTACAATGTGCCTCTGTTCCAAGTGCAGAAGGTGAGGACGGAAACAGCACATGCAGAAATCCCTGTCCTCTGGGAGCTGGCATGTTAGAAGGGCAAACAGACAATAAGCGAGATGAACAAGTTACAAGTGAAACTAAAACAGACAGTGATAAATGCTAGGAAGAAGGAAAGCAGGAAAGGGGGGTTTAAAGTGAGGGTACTCTGTAACTAGGATGGTCAGGCAGAGTGGAGAAGACACGCACCAGGTATAAGGAGGAGGCAAGGAAGAAAGTGAGCCCCCTTCAGGACACCCTCTAATCTGTTCTCACACAGGCAGGAGATGGACCTACCCTTCCTAGTTAGCAAACACGTGCGCGGAACCCACGACACAGGCACCGCCCTAGGCTCTGGGGGCAGAACAGTAAGGACGAGATGGCTGCTGCCTGCAAGAGTTCGTCTGGGGTCAGAGCTGGGTGTTTGTTACAGAGTGGAGCGACAGGGAGAGAACAGCAGGAAGGGGGGCAGACGTAAAAGGGACTGACCGCGGCAGCACACGCACAGTGGTGTAAGACAGAGTGAACAGAGCAGGACGAGAACGCAAAGGAATGAGCTCTGGAGGACCTCACTCACGGAAGAGGCCAGGCCTAAAGCAGCTGGCCTGGCTCTGCGCCCCATGGGCTTCTGGAGACAGAACGAACCCCATGGACTTCTGGAGACAGAACGAACCCCATGGACGTCTGGAGACAGAACGAACCCCATGGACGTCTGGAGACAGAACGAACCCCATGGACGTCTGGAGACAGAACGAACCAGCATGCTCAATGGGAAAGACTGTCCAGAGACACAAAGATGAATCCAAAAAAAAAAGGTTTCTATTTTTTCAATGTGTTTAAAATGAATATAACGTAAAGACCCATAAGAAACTAGAGATTTTCAAAGTCTGCCTAAGCAACCTATCACAGAACAAAGATTCAAAATAACTTCATCTCCTGATTACGCTCTGCTGCAGTATGGCGTACCAAAGGTATTTATCGAAATTCCGATCAGTTTATGGAGGGCCTCAGAAAGAAAGCGTAGGGCATTCAAAGATAAAATAGCACAGTGCGTTATAAAGCTATAAAAACAGCAAAGGGCCACTTTGCTTTCTCACTGCTCCTGGTGCCTCTGGAGTTTCTCAGGGCTGAGAAGGGCTGTTAAAATAAGCAGGATTCCATCAGCCCTGTGTCCCCTCGGCCTAATTCCAAATGTGGTCAGAACTACACCTCAATTCCTACAAGATTCCAACAGATACCTGTTCTTAACCACAAAACAGTACATGCTGAGTGCCTAACAGCCAAATCAGGGGGCTGCCTAAAAGGGGATACTGCCTTTGTGCTACACACACTGTGGTTTTAGGATCATTTAAAAATACGTCAGAAATAACTTCACAAATAGAGAAAAGGTTAAATAGATTAATTTTTCAATTTAAGGTGCTCGGCAAAATCAGCACTGCTGGAACTCAGAAAGCAGGTAAAATCCGGCCGCAGCGCCACGTACCAGGCCTCGGGCAGCAGCGCGGCGTACTCGTGCGGAGAGGTGGTCTCCGGGAAGTTGGAGAGGACCGCGAGGCGGTGGGGGAGCAGGTCTGGCCCGTGGTAGGTGAACAGGATCTCCAGGGCTTGCACGTTACTCTCCTGTACGAAAGGCAAGGAGTAAGTTCCAATGTGAACTGTAGACATAAAGGAATGATCGGTATGAACGTTCGAAAACATTTCACTGATGTTTTATACAGTTCTGACGTGAAGTATTTTGAAATACTCCTGATTCTCCCTAGTCTGTATCATGTCCTGCAATCTAAAGCTATAAAAAATTATTTTTAAAAGTCAGAATGACGAATAAAAGCCTTTTAAAATAGGATTCCATTTGTGCACATTCACACAATAAAATACTAATTAATACTACATAAATACTGCATTATTGTTGCAGTACATTAACACTACAACAGAAAAGAAAATATAACAGTATGCATATGCATTAACACTAACTGCATGACTCAAAAATTTACAAATTGTTAACCACAGTTGTTTTATTTACAAAAGAGACGTTACCCGAGCATACGTTCTTGCTGAGAGAACAATATTCTGATTTCTGAACTTCTTGAAGAATTCCGCATCAAACCTCTGTTCGGGTGCGTGACGCACTCCTAGGATTTCCTGAAGGGAGCAGGGGTTTCGTGAAAGGCCTTTTAGATGTCAATGACAGGAAAACAGTACAAACCCTGACCATCCCGCCCACCTAAACACAGAGGGCTGGAACTCACTGAACCACCACACCTGCAGCCTCGCCTTCACTTTGAACATGGCTGGTCTACAAGTGCTGTTAATTTTTTAACGCCCAGAAGTCGAGGAAGTAGGTGGTACGAGTTACATGAATTCCAGTAGGACGACCCTGACCCGCCGCCCGGTGAAAACCAATCAGCGACAGCACGCGCGGCTGCGCGTCCTGAGCACAGCCGTGTCTGTGTGAGAACTCGCACTCACCGCTGCTGGGGCAAAGTCGGTAAAACGCAGAACGAGCCGTCCCTCCCCCCAGCGACATTCACTGAGTGTCTACCATGTGCTGGGGGCACTGCGGCAGGCAGTCGTGATACAGCCAACGGTACCCTGACCCTACTCTCCGGGTGCCTTAAAATCCAGCAAACAGGACCAGGCAAAGGGAAACACTGGTTCTGGGAGGACAGGAAGGCTCCCCAGAAACGGCCCCGAACCGGACACAGAAGGACGAACGGGAGTTAGGGCAAGTGCAAGGGCAGGTCTCCCCGAATGATGTATGTATGACCAGGGCTCACGTCTGTCCTGCTCAGAGCTGAAGCCCAGATACAGAGCACACAAAACAAACAGCCAACAAACACTGTCACCTTTGAATTAATCTACTGAGACAGGAAGAGGGAAGAAGGAGGATCTCTGGAGGAGGTGAGAGGGGGAGGCGGAGAGACAGAAGTCCACGTGCAGACGTGTTGAGGTAGGGCCCACAGCACATCCAGAGGGAGCTCCCCACATCTAAAAGGCGGGTGGGTACACAGGGGAGGAGTTCTGAGATATGAGCCAGATACATGATGCAGTCCTTAACACAGAAGCTAAGATGATTCCAAGGGAAAGGAAGTGGAACGAAATGAAAGGAGACTGAGGCATAATACCACCATTTAAGAGGCGAGCAAGGAAAAGGGACTCTGGTTCGGAAAAGCGGAGGGAGGCACCCTGGGAGACAGGAAAGGAAAAGCGGAGGGAGTGCGCGCACACTCGTCTCCTCTTTCCGCTGTTGGGCCAATTCCCCTCCCCCTCTCCTGGTTCGCTCCCGTGAGCACACGCAAGACTTCTTCCCTCTTCTATTAAGACAACCACCCTTAGTCTTTCCTGTTTCTCCTGCCACCCCGACCCTGTCTGCTCCCCTTCACAGTCAGACTCCTTTGGGGAGGGGCCCACAGCCACGGGCTCCACGGGGCCCATCTCCCAGTCCCTCCTAAGCTGTTCCCGCCTCTGACAAAAATGCGCCTTCCTGCGCCTCCTTACACAGCATGCAAGACCTCTCAACACATGGCCACGAACCCTTCTAACCACCTCTCCTCTCTTCGCTCCAGCTCTCTCTGTCGGGAGCCCACGGGTTACTTTCGGGCTGCTAATCAGAGGCCCAGCCACAAATCCCTCCTCCCTATTTATTTAGACAAACGACTTGCCTTCCCTAAGCCTCGGTCTCCATATCCACAAAACTGAGGGGATACTAGTGCCTGACTCTGGGGATTATTGAGACACGATCTGGACTAAGTATGTAAGACACTGGTTGGTGAACAGTTAAGTCCTCAACAAATACACTGGTATTTCTCTTTTATGTTCTTTTTCTAGGATTTTATTTAGTTTTTAGAGAGAGGGGGAGGGAGGGAGAAAAAGAGAGAGGCAAACATCAATGTGTGGTTGCCCCTTATGTTCCCCTAACTGGGGACCTGGCCTGCAAACCAGGTATGTGCCCTGACTGGGAATCGAACCAACAACCCTCTGGTTCACAAGCCCACACTGAATCCACCGAGCTACACCAGCCAGGGCCAAATACATTGGTACTTCTCAAGATACCCTCTTACCTACTAGTCCCCTCAACAAATATTTACTGGGACCCTCAACAAGCCAGGCAGCATCATGGCCCTGGGCACTGCAGCCACTGCAGCAAACAGAGCCCCACCCTTGGGGACTCCCCCTTCTCAAGGCCCTAACTCTGTTTCCCTTTCCCTGAGCACTAGTTGAAATAGGATCCCATTTCCTCCCGTGCAGGGTCGTGCAGGGTCGTCTCAGGCATCCCCAGGACAAACGTAATGTTCTTCTCCATCAGGCCCCCTCATCAATGGTTCATGTTTTCATTAGCATCAATGACTGCCTATGTAATAAGGGACTGTCCCTTTGTCCTCTCTTGATCTCCAGCACTAGCTTGATGTCTGGCATGTAGTACGCACTTGAATAAAATTTACATGAAGCCATTTTTATGTCACTTATCACAGAACTAATAAAGTAGACATGTCCTATGATTAAAATGCAATGCCTGTCTCTACCACTACCTACTGGCTAGTCATTATATCTATATATCTTCATTTACGAGTTTTAACAGCCAAATTCATCCACTTCATTTACTTTTCAAAAGCTAGCTGATTCCCTTAAAAAGTGGGAAGTACAAATACCTTACATATACTTTATAAATACTTTACTTACAACAAATACTTTAAATATCACTATTCCCATGTAATAATAAATGCACTTACTACTGTCTAACAGGAAATAGCAACTCAACAACTCAAGAATAGTGAAAGATAATTATTTGGATAGTTAAATGCTTCCATTTCATGGAATTTTTCTTTTTAAGATCTCATCAGTAAAACTAAGGCTAACCAAAAAATGATAACGTACCTATACGGACAACACGTTTTTATATATTATCTCAAAATAGCACAGCACTCTAACATAATTAAGATGATATGCTTTTAAAAATATGGCCATCCAACATTCAAACTAGTTGTACTACAGATAAAACCATTAGAAGCTTTCCAACCTGTTTGTGTAAAGTGATATACTCGTTGCTATGGTTTTTAATAACCCCAGAAAGAGCCCTCCTTCGTCACTAGTGTTTCGTCTGAAACCATTTCTATTACATTAGCGGGTGGGGAGTCAAATGCTTCGGGTTCCGCCTGCAGCATCAGAAGTACTGGACCGCGCCGTTACTCAGAGCACGGGCATCACCTCATCAGGTGTGGCCCTTGCTGAGAGGCTACCAGGTGCCAGCACTAAGAGCCAGCAGAGGCGTGCCCACAGAAAGGAGGCCAGCCCCACTGAGGAGGTAACCTGCAAGAGAGGTCAAACTTCCAAGGTCGGAAGGTGTACTGAACCCTGGGAACCTTTGGCTACATGGTCACGTGGGAAAGCAGCCTAAGCTGTGCGTCTTGCTGAACCACGCACCACGCCCTCGACAGCACCTAAACACACCTCACGGTGCAGGGCGCTACCAAAACGCCCAGCGTGGGAACATCTGTGCTTGTGCACCTGGGGAACAAATACACGTACACATTTTTAAGGCCAAATGTCTAATTTTGGACATAAGTGGACCAAAGTTCAATCAACTAACTTCAACCCACTAACAAATCACTAAAATGAAATGAAGCATAAATATTCACATTAGGATTATTAAAACACAACATATACTGAACTTTGGTGCTAGAGACAGCTGTATTCCATAACCTCAAACTGAAATGCAAAATCAAAGTAAATGGAAAGGACTATAACATAGGAAACAGAGACGCAGTGATGCAGCTGAAGCACTTCTACTCCCTAGACGAACAATTGTGGCCTTCCACGGTCTCTGATTTTCACCAAAACTCGTGCACAGGACAACCTGTGTCTGCACATAATGAAGTGTTTTCTGCTGAGCCAGTTCTAAAGACCAAGGGTATGAGACGCCGGGGCCGCCACAGCACTTACGACGACGACAGGTCAAGTAAACGCGAGTGGTCTGACCGCAACCAGCCCTTACCTCGTGCGTGGCAAGCCGATCCAGGTAGGTTAGTAGTTTCAGCCTACACCGGCAGAGTTCCTTTTGTTCCAGGGTCAACCTGTTTCAAATGAATAAATCAGGCCACTCACACTTACATGAAAGCACGTTTCTCTGAGAGTTAAAACAAAATAAAGATGATCAATATTCTACTGAGCCCCAAACTTGTGGAACAGTACACAAAAGCGCAAGGGTAAAACATTAAATGCACTTGATTTAAGTTGCTGAAATAACTTAGAGCAATTACCTCCAGGAAAGAACACGCTTAGATGACCCATTATCTTGCAGAAATCACCAAACGAACGGTAACACAGCACTTACTTTGAGAAGTCCACTAACCGAAGCAGCTCCTGTCGCTTCCTGAGCTCGCTCGCCTTCGCGGTCCGGGCAGGCTCGTCCTCGGGGCAGAGCTCCTCGTAGGGCACGCCGTCGATGTCCACGTCCCCAGGCAGCGCGAACCTGTGGGCAGAGAGGACACCCACGCCGTGGGAAACCACTCCCCCTACCTTGACGGGCTCACTATTAGTTTGATTCCCACAGAAACAACCCATCATCTGAGAGAAAGCTATGGCTACCGTACGCAGAGTGATTCACTCACTATAGCCACAGGCCGGGCAAAAAGTCCTCCAGTCCTCAGGAATGATCACACTTAGAGATTTTAAAAATCGAGAAAATGAAAACTTAAGAAACAATGCACCCGTGTGAAACAGCCCACAAAGAAAGCGCTGCCTGGAGTTTACAAGGTGATTCACCTCTGCGACGGTCACGACGGTCAGTCTCATGCACTTCACTTATGCAGCAGACAGAGTGCCACGTTTACATGCCACAAAAAGTCCCAAATGTCTGGTGAGCGATGGCTCTCAGCAGACAACCTTATTTTATTATTATTAACTGGCATCTCTCTGGTGCTTAAGGTGTATGAGGTGCTCCCACCAGACCTGCAACTTAATCGCGCCAGACGATCTCTTGAAGCCGGCGTGGGGCTCCAGACAAGGAAAGTGAGCGAGGCTCAGGCCTGCCCGAGGGGGCGCATCGGCCCGGTGGGCCCACCCAGGCAGTGCGTGAGCCTGCAGCCGAGAAATGGCCAACACTCAGTAAATGTTTCCAGCATTTGCTCTTTCCTCAGCATCAAGCCGTGATCCGTAAACACGTTTAATTGAAAGGAAAGAAAGCTGTGACTTCAGATAAGAAAGCTTTGATCAAAAGCAACTGCTTCATTACAGAGTAACCTAAATAAACAGGAGTTTACCCTGTCCAGCGTCTCAGCTTAAACGCGCTCACAAAGCTGCCTGTGCCCCTGAACCCAGGTCTTCCTGCACCAACCTGCCGTCATCCGCTCCGTCCCCTATGGCTACAAGCGCCTCCAGGTCCGTGCCCCGCAGGCCATACTGCAGCAGCTCTTTCGCGGCATCCACGGTTTCGGGGACTCTCTCCAAGCACTCGTGAAGAACCCAGGACCGTTTCTTTATTTTACTCTGGGTAAAAAGAAAACAAAACACAGAGGCATCAAACAGCCTGCATCACCTGCCAGCCCCCGACAAGGGCCTTTTAGAATGCTGAAGCCCTAATGCAGGGAGTGCAGGGAGTGCAGGCAGCCGCCGGGCAAGGTCCTCAGCAGAGAGCTAGTCCCCTTCCCTGGGGCGACCAGAACTGGATGCAGCGAAGGTGGCTGCAACTGACCCCCTTCTTCTTCTAACAGACCACAGGGAAGCACAAACCTCAGTGCTCATTTTTGGAAACAAAGAGATCTTTCCAAGCATGTATAATAGCTCTTCAGTTTTCATTTGGGTTATACGACAGGGTAGAAAATAAAGCAGGAAGGCAAGATGAGATACATCCTATTGCAACCAGCATGCTTAACTCTGAAACAACACGAATGAGGCGCAGCACGTGAAGGTCTGGTATCTACGTGACCGTGACACGCATCGCAGAGCAGTGTGGTTGGTAACTGAGCCATGGCAGGCCACGCTATGCTGTTTTTGGAAAGACCAAGGGCCTGTTCCTTCCTCCCAAATGCTTCCTCCGGCTCCATTCTAAATCCTGACTTGCCCTATTCACACACAGACTCCCACTGATTACCAATTTGAAGTAGGATTTGACTCACACCAGCTAGCTTTCTTTTTTACACATTCTGAAGTCTTTCTTCAAATGGCTCTTAACTCATTTCCCCTTTTCCATGTCTGTGGCCTGCATACCAGTCTCTGCCATCAGTACCCAATGCCTGGGACACTGCAGGGGTCCCCACCACCACTCTCCTGCCAGGCCAGCGCATCTTCTACACCACCGCCCTCTGCACCCCCACAGCCGGGACTCCCCAAGAGCCCCCATGACCCTGAGGATATCACAGGTTTTCAACACCCTCCCAAACCCAAACCCACATGCCTTCCTGCTCACACTCCATAGCGTTCAGCAGGCTGGAATGCAAGACCCAGCAGACCGGTTTACTCGGAGCCCATCCATTCACCCAAGAACTGTGTATTCCAGGCGCTGAACTAGACTTGAGGACACCGCAGCGAGTAAGACAGATCTGGTCGCTGGCCCCATGAGAGTCACGACCATTTTCTTTTCATTTGCCCATACCATGTGTCCCACCAAAAACGGCTTCCTCTCCTCAAACGCTAGGCCTGCTCTGAGTCCTTCCACGTTCCTGCTCACAACACCTTCACGACACAAACCGTCCATGACCACTGGGTCTGGAAGGACTGCCCCCTCCCGGGGTTCTCGCCGCGCCAATATGGACTCTTCCCGTGTGGTTATGAACAGTTTGGGCACAAAGCCTGTCTTCTCAGTGGGATTACAAGCTCCCTATAAGCAAAACCCGTATTTAAGTGGCTCCTCCACTCCTTCCCCATCCCTAGCATCCTACTTTAACTCTTCGCTGCCTGTTTATTTAGCTGAATTAAGTATTTTGCCCTCCAAAAAACTGTACTTGCTTTCCTCCTTCAGAAACCAAAACTTTCTTTTACTCTGTTCCAGAAAGAGCCATAAAGTAGCATACGTGAGCTCATGAGCTCACTGTCCTGAGTCACACACACAAAAAAAGATAATACAGAGTTGGTGTTCTGAAATTCTAATGAAAATACAAGCAACTTTGTTTTCTTCCTTTGTTTAATTATCTCTCTGTTGTCTCATCTCCGGTGTCTCATTTGTATTAACACTTTATCTTCGTGTTGGCTGATGCATCTACTTATTACATATGGCTTTTTCTGATTACGTTTTTCTTTATTTTTAATGACTCGTGTACACAAATCTTTAAGGAAAACAATTACCATGAAATCTTCCCAACACGACTTTATTCCTATGTGCAAAGATACTTTCCTCCCTAAATGTCAGACGAGAAGCCGCTCCCGTTCAAGAGCAGGCCCTGAATCCAAGCACTGCCTCATGGTGTCGAGGGCGCCAATGCACAGGCGACAGAAGGACTGTGGCAGCAGATGGCAGGAAGGATCCGATTCCAAGATTTAAGCAAAAGGGAGGTGTCAGTCAAGCCTGGCTGTCAGTTGCCTCCCTACTGCCCCTCACCTTCGAACTGCCTCTTCACCGCCAGCCCGGGGACAGGCCGCGTCTCCCGGTGGTGCGAGCGGGCACAGGAAGTCTGGTGCGGTAAGAGGGCGATGGAGCGCCACCACACAGGAAAGGCCCCGCGTTTCCGCTCCTGAAGTGCTCTCACTCTTTCCTGCCTGCTCCTACGGCCTGGCAGCCAGCACTGCACGGAGGGGACATCTGGGGGCACTTGCTTCCCCTCTTCCTCCGGCCACGGACGACCTCTGACCTCTTGCTGAATCCCCTCCTACTTACTCCCCTGGGCAGATTCCTCCCCAGGGAGGGGGAGACCTCCCAGACTCCACCCCCCCCCCATTCCAGGGGGAGTTTCTTTTCAGTCCTGGCCTAGGTTCTTAGCTACCAGCCTCAAGGGGGAAAACGCCAGAGGAGAGTTTCCTGACCACCAGTCTGTGGCGTTTTCTGACGCCCACTCACTGCCGTACCCTGGCATGAGCACCCGATCTGCCCATCCTTCCCACCTTTTCCTGCCTGCCAACTCGGGCCATTAAGGACCAAGCTCAACTGTCCCAACCTTGGCCACTAAGCACCAGCCCTGGCCCGCAACACCCCGGGGAGTTACCGTCCCTCCAGCTGCTGCAGCTACCCCTGCCCCAGGGAGGTCTGAGCCCCAGCCCAGGGGAGGAGGCCTCCCTTCCAAGTCCGTTCCCTCCTGGGTATGCTCCTTAGCCCCTCGGGTCAAAGAATTCCTTACAGTTCTCTTTGCCCCTTTATAGTTAATCTCTCGTTACTAGAAAATAATTCTCCATACTAAAGCTTTCCCTGTTCAAGTTACTGTGTGGTTTCTGGCTTCTGATGGGGCCCTGACTGATGCAGGTGAAGACAGGTAACTGAGGTAGAGGCAAAGGAAGGGTTAGGTCAAAGCCGGGTAGTAGGTTGGTTTATCGGTAAATAGTATTCACATGTCTTCAGCATCCAAGTCCGGCTGCGGGGCCAATAAAACAGGATAACAAGGTAATTTTTTAAGTTGAGGAAAACACACTTTGTCAGCAATATAAACTACTCTAATATGAAGCCCCACAACCAAAAGATATTCCAAATATCTGAATTTTACCATGTCACGTACCAGGTAATTCTGAATCGAAGCACTGCTGACCGCTGACTTCCTCCACTGCCTCTGATACACGAGGTCCGTGTCCAGGCCGTAGGTCTGAGCCAGGGACAAGGCCTCCTCGTACTCTTCACTTTCAATCTTCGGACAAGGAAATGGAAACAGGGTTACGGTGACGGCGTGAAGGATGACGACTAGCCCTTAACCTATGTGTAGCATGTTATGCATGCCAAATTATTCTCCTGGGCATGGTGGCACCAGAGGCTCAGGAACACTCGGAGGGACACACAGGCCCAGTTTAGCACTTGCACAGAAAGGAAAGAGAAAGGGAAATGCTCCCATTTACAGAGAAAATGATGGCAAAACCAGGACAAGCAGTGCCCACAGCCTGACCCCCAGTGCGGGGACCATCCAGGGCTGACCCAGCCAGCCCCTGCCCCCAGGCACAGCGCTGAGGAGGAAGCAAGTGTGCAGGTCTCCCCCACCATCTGGAGTCTGAGGCGACAGCTGCACAGAGACACAGACAAGGAGGGCCGCCAACTCCCAGACTAAGCCACAAAGTGGACAAGCGAAGCAAATCCATCTTCCATCACTTTTTATTTCAATCATTCATGCACAAAAAACAGCATTGTTTTCAAAGGCTACTTAATTCTGATATTTCAAATATGTCAGTAATACGATTCTGCTTCAAATTCCTTCCTTCATTAAAAAAGAAAAGATTAATCCCTGGCTGGCGTAGCTCAGTGGATTGAGCACGGGCTGCGAACCAAAGCGTCGCAGGTTCGATTCCCAGTCAGGGCACATGCCTGGGTTGCAGGCCACGGCCCCCAGCAACCGCACATGGATGTTTCTCTCTCTCTCTCTCTCTCTCTATCTCCCTCCCTTCCCTCTCTAAAAATAAATAAATAAAATCTTTAAAAAAAAAAAGAAAAGGTTTTTCTCCATCAGATCAGCACTGTGGCGGCCGGGCCCTCACCTTCCTCTGGAAGAGCTCCTCCGGGGTGGTGGAGCGCAGACTCACGAGGCGGTAGTGCTTGCTGACGGCCCGCGGGCGCTTCCGCGGCGGGGCGAACCGCTCCATCTCCGTCACCAGGTACAGGCCCCGCTTGACGTAGCCGAAGTAGCGAGCCTTGGCGGACACGTCCTGGTCCGAATCGGAGTCCTCCTCTCCCTCCTCGTCTTCCCCGCCCCTCGTCTCCAAGCGAGAGCGTTTGGGGGCGAGTTTGATCTCACACTGAATTGAAAAAGGAGACGTTAAATAAATAGGGAGGAACTAAAGGCAGGTTGTAGAGTTAATGAGAAAAACATTTGTAATTCTACTCCAGCTTCACTCCTTGCATCGGCCACGTGGTCAAAACTGAACATGGAATTCAAAGGAACCCAACGACGAACATCACTTACATGCACAGCTCCGGAAATGTTCAAATGCATTACTGGCTCCCAATCTCCAAAACTAAAGTCTGTTTTAATAAGTCATTAATAGGATCTCGTAAATATATGCCTAGTAATTACTGCAGGGAAATGAAGGAGTTGAGAACGTTAATTTCTTCACACTTGATATTTTTATACCAGCTGTGGAAAATGAAGATGCCGATTTGTTTTATCTATTTAGCAAATGAACATGAATGCATTTTTTTACTTTACTGAAATAGCTCTCCCCCCACCCTTTCTAAAAGCATCTAATAGTTTCCCAAAGTTCCGAGGCTGGATGCCTGACTGCTACCGATAACTTTCATTCCAGACCGAACAGAGTCGGCTTAGAATTTAAGCCTTAATTCTCTCAAAATAACATCTTTAGACTTAGGAACAAACTTTGAGGTAAAAAATACTTATCAATCTACATTGAAGTGAAAGCTATTAAGCTTCAAAGACTTAAACTAAGAATTTTAAATGACCAAAACGTAACTTTAAATTACCAGTCTCTATTTTCTAGTTTCTTCTCATGATAAACAAGCTTTTTTTTACTAAAAGAACCAAAATTTTTAAGTTGTCATACTTCACAGAAAAAGGTTAAAGACTATATTTCTTAGGTGGCAATACCTTTTACATTTTAAGATGACTAATCTAGAAAAAGAAAAAATCTATCATGTCATTGAAGAAAAAATAGTTATTAACAGCAAAATAACTATAAATTTTACAATACAAATTTTTAATTGCTAAACAATAGATCTTTTTTACAGTGCACTCAATCTGTGATTCCAATCAATCACAGACTTTTGTTTTTAAAGCCAAAATTAGGCAATGGGTGAACAAACTTAAAGAAACAGATCTTTAGGGTTTTGGTGAAATTCATATTTACTTTCAAACACACTGGCTGCTCTACAGAGACAGGATTACCTCCAGACTTAAAAACCCCCCGTCGTGGGTGGCAGTGACTTGAGGTGACGGCTCAAACCATTCGCAGGATTTCCCCAGCAAGTTCTTCAGAGTTTTCACGGAGGAGACCGTCAAAGCGCCAGAGCAGCGCGCCAGAATCACCGCGCTGCCCGCCCACCAATTCACGTCGATCAGCGGGTAGAAGGACTCCTTATCTGCTGGGAAAGCAAACGAGCACAAAGGCCCCCGTCACAGTGGTTCGGGCACAACACATTCCGTCCGACAATCGGTTCAGAAGCCACATCTGGGCCCTAAAGGCATGTTAAATAATGAGGAAAAAATAAACTGCAACCCACCGCTCTAATTTTACAAAATAGTCATCTATTTAATGAACATCTGAGTGCCAAGAATTTGTCAAAGTCCCAAATTACGAGGATGCAGAATTAAATATACGAAGGTATCTCCTCTCAAAAAATAAAGGTTATACATACATATTCCACCCTTTGTAACACAATACATTGAAAGGTAGGTGTGTACAAAGCGTACAAACTATAAGGTTACAAAAGACTTTTGGAAAATGTTCATATAGCACTTTCCGGACAAACAATACGAAACGACCACCTTTTAGAAAGTGTAAGACACGTGTCACAGTGGCAGTGCTGACTGCTTCTGACACCTGGGAAGAGAGCCGGGAGAACGCGCCGACCCGAAACACGCCACGTGGACACAAACACTGTGAGCTGGAGGAACCCGAGAAACCCACAGTCCTTTTCCTTTGCCTGGTCTCTTCTCTAAGGTTCACTCTCCTCTGCCAGGACGCCAGGTCGGCCCGATCTCCAGCCAAGCACTGGAGCCCCTCCTCCCCAGCACGCCCCTGTGTGAGCTCCCCACACACGCGAGTGTAACTCTATCTGCATTTTTCTTGTTCCTCTGCCCTTTGTCAATCTTATCTTGCAGGGCCCCACTCACAGAACCCAAGAGGGTGAAAAGAAAAAGATTTTCTCCCTGCCCTACATATATTACATCATCTAAAGAGCACCTGTACTATACATGAGGAGTCTCTTAAGGTTTTAAATATATTTCGTACAACTCACCTTTGAGTTTTTTTCTCTTCTCAGTGGAGAGTCTCCAGTCAGGATTAAGGTCATCATACCCTGGCTAGATACAAAACATAGACACATGAGTTCCTGAGTCACCCATGTCAGAAAATTATGAGAGTATCATCAAGAACTATGCATTTTTTTTCCTGGGAATGTAGACTGGTGCCTCCACTGTGGAAAACCTAGAGTTTCCTCAAAAAACTAAAAATGGAACCGCCTTTTGATACAGCAGTTCCACTGCTGGGATTATATCCTAAGAATCCTGAAACACCAATTCACAAGAACCTGTGCACCCCAATGTTCATAGCAGCACAATCTACAATGGCCAAGTGCTGGAAACAAGTTAAGTGCCCATCAGTAAATGAGTGGATCAAAAAACTGTGGTACATTTACACAATGCAATACTATGCAGCAGAAAGAAAGAAGGAACTCCTACCCTTTGCAACAGCATGGAGGTGAAAGACAAATACCATATGATCTCACCTATAAGTGGAACCTAATCAACAAAACAAACAAGCAAGCAAAACAGAACCAGAGACATAGAAATAAAGAACAGGCTGACAGTGACCAGAGGGGAGGGAGGTAACAGGGGAAAGAAGAGGAAGGGTCGTCAAGGAATGTGTATAAGCCCTGGCAGGTGTAGCTCAGTAGATTGAGCGCGGGCTGCGAGCCAAAGTGTTGCAGGTTCGATTCCCAGTCAGGGTACGTGCCTCGGTTGCAGGCCATGACCCCCAGCAACCGCACATTGATGTTTCTCTCTCTCTCTCTTTCTCCCTCCCTTCCCTCTCTAAAAATAAATAAATAAAATATTTTTAAAAACTATTTGAAAGGCAATGGAAATATATATTTTTTTTAAAAAGGAACATGTATAAAGGACCCAGGACAAAGCTAACGGGGGGGCGGGAGCAGAAGGGGAGGGCTGAATGTGGGAGGTGGTGGTGAGTAGGGCAGGGGAGAGTAATGGGGGGAAAATGGTGACAACTGTAATTGAACAACAAGAAAAGAAGAACAACTATGGATTTTTTTTTAATAATAAAATATAGAGACGATGCTTTCCTTTGATCTGGTTGAAATCCACTCCTCTCCATAACTCGGAAAAGCGACTGTTCCTGCACTTATGCGGACAGGCAAGTGTTGGGACTCAGTGTGATGAAGGCAGTACGTGCATGAGAACAAGACGACAGCCAGTGTACAACTGACACCAATGAACGCAAGACACACTGACGAATAATCCCACACACACCCACGCCTGCATTCTGGGAGAACAGGTGTGCTGCTGCGCACAAACACCGGCCTGGATACACGTCCTACACACACACACACACACACACACACCCCACACTTGTAACTGAGCAACCCCCCAGGTTTGGCTTCCGCAGCTCTGAGACTGGACTCCACAACCTCCACATAATCTCCAGTTCCTTCTACGACTGAAGATTCACTAAGTAAAAAAAAAAAAAAAAAAACAGCGTGTAATCTTTAAACTGAATCCATTCATATTCCAATCTCAGGGCAACATAGTATCTTACCCACCTTTGTGAATGCAATGACGGATCATTATCTCTGAAATACCATAAAACAACTGAGATGAAGTTCACTGTTAGGTACTTAATCTTGAGAATTACAACAGTATGGAAAAGGACAAAAAAACCATTTGGATGTTTATCTGAAATCTTAAACCTAGAAAGAGTGACGCTACACTTCAGTCAACTGTGCTTTTCCCCTAACAGGACACAATAAGTGAACATGTGTTATAACCAATTTATCAGTGGCTAAGAGTTCAGGATACTAGAATCGCTATTTCCTTCCATGGCCCGAAAGAAGGTTTACTCCCTACTGCTACAGTAAGTCACTGGGACTGGTCCCTGAGAACAGAAGATGTCATTCTTTAAACTTTATCCCAAAAAAAGTTAGCATAAAAGGCTATGTTTTTATACTACAGGAAGAACTACATTGTCCTGGTTGACTGAATCATGAAAAAATGATCATGTTTCAAAGATCTGGAATACAGTACAATACATATTATTGAATATAATCAACGGATTTGAAATCTCACTTGATCACTTATGAGGAGCCCCAGGGGCTGCCCCCGCCCCCGAGCCGCCAGCTGTCCTTGCCCCGACAGCCCACAGGCGTGCGGCCACTTATTCCCATGGCAGCCCGTGTGTCCCCTGCTGGCATCCCGGAGCGCACGGAGGGTGGGAAATGACACTGTAAAACTTTAAGTCCAGCAAACAACAACAATAATATGATTCAGCTCTGGGTAAATTAATCGCCAACAAATCTTCCAGACCACTAGAGCGCCCACGCGTCACAAGGACGCAACGCTGGGCATCTAAACCACTGAGCCCCAGTGAGAATGTCTCTGCTATAGAAAAATCAGCTGACACAGGGCTGGTCTTCTTCCGTCCTCTCTGAAGTGTGGTTTCTTGTGCTGTAGAGTCCAGAAATGCCGTGCGTTTACACTGACAGAGGAGAGAAAATAAGACGTTACAGGACGCACACACAAGCAGGCAGAGGGCTAGGAGCCAGGGACAGGTGACTGTAACCCAAGCCACCGGGTAACTGCCCCCGACAGGTGTGCCTATGACAGTGTCACAGGTCTTCAAATGACAGAGATCACGTGGGCTCAAGGAAGAAGAAAGGAACTCAAGAGGTACAAAGACACCCTGATGGTGCTGTCCTCTGAAGTCTGGATAAGGTCTGGGTGTGGAAAATGGGTGACCAAAGATATTCCAGACAACACAACATGGGCAAAAGTACACAGGAAAGACTACGTTTACTTAGGAAAAAAAGTACGTCAATTTAACTAAAGTACAGGACACCCAGTTCTAATTACCAGCATTTTTGCTTAGGGTTTTTGCGGAAAAAGAAGGTTAATTGTGTCATTTTTTATGGAGGTGAAATTCACATAACAAGTGTAAAGTGAACAATTCAGTAGCATTTAGTACATTCACAACGTTGTGTCACCTACATTTAGTTCCAAAACACGCCCACCACTCCCAAGGAAAACCACTTGTCCACTGAACAATTACTTCTCACCTCCCCTTCCCCGAGACCCCAGCAACCACCAGTCCATCTGTGTCTCCATGGGTTACCTACTCCGGAAATTTCACATAAGCGGGTTCCCGGCACATGTGACCTTCTTCTGTGTCTGGCTCCTTCCACTTAGCACCACGCTCTCGGGAGTCACCCGAGTTGCGGCACGCATCGGTACTGCATCCTCGTGCGGCTGCACAGCCTCTGTCACTGTGAGCACACACCACAACTTGTTCATCCGCCCTCCCATTCGTGAACACTGGGTGGTGGTAGCCTGTGGCTGTTGTAAACAGTGCGGCTGTAACATGCACACGGGTATACGCACTTGCATGCCTCTCTTACATTCTGTGGGGGGCAGCCCTAACTGTCTGCCTTTCTGCCTTAGCAAGACACAGCAGATTCAATCTAGATATCTCAACTAAATGTTTAACCTCACAATATATTATCTAAACAGTATATTGAAGGAAGAAACCCGAACAGAACTCCAGACCGAACCCTGGTTTCGGGCAGAGGGGGTGTGCGCCAGACCAGCACCCTCAGAGCTTGTCCCTCACCCTGTGCACAGCTGAGCTGACACCCCGCCACTCCCCTCAGGATATTCAAACTGGCCCAGAGTGACCAGCGCTGTCAACTCCGAGGGCTCTGTCTGTGCAGACACGCTGTGGGCCAGTGCTCCGAGGACAGGATCACCAAGCTCCTGTGACCCATGCCAGCACCCCAGGGACCCTCGCATCTGGCCCCATGCTGACACGTCCTGAGAAGCAGCCTCCACGCCCCTCCTCTTTGTACAACATGCTACCCTGTGTCTTTTTTTTTTTAATTTTTCAAGATTTTATTTATTTATTTTTAGAGAGGGAAGGGAGGGAGAAAGAGAGAGAGAGAGAAACATCAATGTGCAGTTGCTGGGGGCCGTGGCCTGCAACCCAGACATGTGCCCTGACTGGGAATCAAACCTGCGATGCTTTGGTTCGCAGGCCGCGCTCAATCCACTGAGCTATGCCAGCCAGGCTACCCTGTCTGTGTCTGAAAGGAGCCCCAGGCGCCCTCGCGTTACAGCGCAACAGCAGCCTGGAGGGGGCGCCCCAGGAGCACAGTTACAGATTGTATATAAAGAAAGGCTATTGTGACTAACCCAGCATCTTTTTCACATTTAAAGTTCTTATCTAATTTCTTGTATGGCTAAAAGCTAAACATAGCGAAGCCCCTGCCTCCGACAACATGAAAGCAACCTTTCCAAAGTTCACCCGCTCCACAAACACGGCCTGGTATTCCGTGCGCCAAGCCCTGGGTGAGGTCCCACGGGAGAGCTGGCTGTGCAGAGCCTGCTCTCAAGGGCTCCCCGTCTGGCGGGGTGGGCTGTGGAGGCAGCTGTGGGTCACACCGAGATGAATCACAGGGACTGCCACCCTCTCGCTGACCCTCCACGGACTCATCCATCTAACACAATGGTCCTCACCTGCTGTATGCCAAAGAGAGGATACAATGAAAATGGAAAAGGCAAGTTTTCTGTCTACTACATCTAAGGAAGTACACATAGGTAAATAAAACTTCTCCAGACAAAATTAAGACCAAAACTAAGAGGTAAATATATAAACATAACATATGGGAAATGTTTGAAATGATAATCACTTTAGCAATTTACTTTATTCCAGACATGAACAAACCTTAATACTCACAGATTTCTAGCCAGATGGATGTTCATATTGACAATGAAAGCCGAAGTGTTTAATCAACTCAGAACTAGACGGATGGAAGTCAGAACAGGCACTTACACAAGATCTTTAATCATTAGATTTTATAGAGGAAATAATCACACAAAGTACATTCTAAAAACTAATAAAGTAGCAAATTACAAAAGGAAAGCCCCAGATGAGCTGAACTTACAATTGAGTAAAAGAGTTTAAGGTTCCCTGGCTGGTGTGGCTCAGTGGACTGAGGGCCGGCCTGCGAACCGAAAGGTTGCCAGTTGGATTCCCAGTCAGGGCACGTGCCTGGGTTGCAAGTAGGTCCCCAGTTAGGGGCACAAGAGAGGCGACCACACATTGCTGATGTTTCTCTCCCTCTCTTTCTCCCTCCCTTTCCGTCTCTCTAAAAATAAATAAATAAAATCTTAAAAAAAAAAAAAAGAGTTTAGCCTTGGCTGGCATAGCTCAGTGGATTGAGTGCAGGCTGGGAACCAAAGTATCCCAGGTTCGATTCCCAGCCAGGGTACATTCCTGGGTTGCAGGCCATAACCCCTAGCAACCGCACATTGATGTTTCTCTTTCTTTCTCTCTCTCTCTCTCTCTCTCTCTCTCCCCCCCCACCCTTCCCTCCCTAAAAATAAATAAATAAAATCTTAAAAAAAAATGAATCACTTTAAAAAAAAGAGAGAGAGTTTAAGGTTGTACAGGGCAATGACAACCTTAGTTTCTTCTCAGGCAACGTTGCCTGAGCTAAAATTGTCATTTCTGACTCTACACTACCCATTACCCTAGAACCCCTTTCAAACTAAGCGGCCTGTCCGCTCACTTCCTGGAGCCACGATAAAGGGAAACAGAGCCCGGCGCGCCTGGTCGCCCCGCGCCACCTGACCATCCATCGCCGGAGGAGGGAGAAGAGAGCGGCTGGTCGAGTGCCTTCCGGGGCTGGAGTGTTCTCAAGTGGCTCCCAGCCTGTGATGAGCGCGCGAGGTCCACCGCACTTACTGACATCCCACTGCCGGGGTCTCCACATAACCAGGTGCCCGGCTCCCAGAGGGTCACTCACGTCAACTGCAGAGCACACCCCCCCACCCCCCCCTCGTTCTCCATCAACATCACAGCGGGCGCCGGGTTTGCGGACAGGCGCTGCCGAGGCGAGCCCACTAGCGCCCACTAGTGCCCGCGTGCCCAGGTGCAAGTCAGCATCTCCCCACGCACCACGGTGACTTGGAAAAGGCTCAGCCTAGGAGCCACGGGTCCGCCTGAAATCTTGACTCTAACACCAGCATCTAACGGACCCCGTTAACCACCGTTAGCACTCTTCCCCTCTATTAAAATGAGCACGAACCCACTTTTTACTTGATAGGGCTTCTGTGAAGCAAATAAAATAAATGAAAACTGCTCTGGGGACGGCCAAGCCGCACTGCACAGACGCTATTTATTCCCACGAGTCCTTCCCGCCGACACTATCCACTGAATTTATGTGCCTCTCCTCTGAGCTTATCTTTTCATAATATTAACATGTTATTTTATTGATTTGTTTATCATTTCCCTTGGAAGACCGAACAGCTTAAGGGCAAAGACTGTGACTGATTGCATTTTCCACTCCAGCCTTTGGTAGAGATTCAATAAACAGTTGAACTTTATTTTACGATTACTGTTAGGAGTCTAGTAGCTACCTCCTCTCCGTGGCACTCCCCCAAGCCTTCCAGAAGGTAACCCAGCGTGCCAGACGTTGGCGACTCCCTTCAGACTGTCGCGTGCACGCCTGAAAGGCCCAGCCCGATGCGACTGACCCCCAGGTTATTCAGCTGGTGAAGGTTACGGACCCCCAGGTTACTGCGCCTGGAGGGGCAAGACTCGAGCAGGGGCTGGCTGTTCGGGCGCCTCCTGCCGTCCCTCCGCAGCACGCGCCACAGACACTGACGACAAAGGGTTTCACGAGGAGAGGGTATCTCATCACTTATTCTGGAAACTGGGACACGCCACCTAGCTCGAGAGACCAACATATCTGAGAGGGGCGAGGCAACCTGTGTTACGTTCACCGGGAAAAAGGACTTGTCTCGGTTCTTTTTTAAAGATCATCAAATACATAAAGTCTAACAAATAGAAGTTTCCCCCCCGCTCACCTTTTAAAAATGTATTTACTTTCCAATGGAAAGAGTGTGGACATCAGACTCCTAGAGACAGGAAGTCCAATCTCAGCCGCACTGCTCGCTTGCTGAATAACCCCGGGACAAGGGCTCAGAGAACAGCCACCAGACTGTCTGGGGGTCACTGGGTCACAGCCAAAGGCGGTGAGATGGAACCTCACTGAGGTACAGCCACAGAAAAATCAGGCCACGGCAATTCCTGGCGGACAGTGAGTCCAAACTCGCAGCACGTTTCTGTCCACGAGACTCGCCCTGGGACAACGCTGGAGGCGGATGTCCAGCCTGACTTTATCGCGTCCCACCACGCACCTGTTCTGCTGTTTCCAAATTCCCTCCTTTTCCTGTCCCGTCACTTTCCTGGTGGCCTAGTCCAACTACTGAGATATTTATATAGTTATTCACTCCAGAGTTCCAAGATTTCTAAGCGATTTTTAAATTAAAATTGTTTTAATTAAAAAATCACTACAGAATCCTAATTAATGAATAACATTGAGTTAAAGGCTAAAGGGTTATATGGGCATTGACTGGCAACTGAGACAAAAAAAGTCCAGCCAGTCAGAGGGCTGAGGGCAGTGGGCAAGGCCCATGGCAGATGCGGTCCGTCTGTGCGGACAGGACAGGAAGGGCCGTCCAGAACTCCGGTGAACAAAAAAAGTGAGCTCATGGATCTTCTCGAACAGCCTTTACACTGTACGACATCCTAGCATTTTCACAAGATGAACGAACTCACAAGAAGTGTGCTTTCTATTAGGTGACTGAAAACAACCTAAGAAAACAGAAAGTCAGGGGAAGGGGAGAATGTCTTTCACATCCAAAGTTCTCACCATGTAAATGTGCCCAAATGTACAATTTCCCGCGTACAACAGAACATCAGGATCTTCCCGAATGACAAAAGCTGAATATTTTATCACCATGGAAAACATGGGCAACTTTTGGATCAAGTATCTGGCACGCCTAGCTAAAATACATTTTTTAAAAGAACGGTTTAGAGAGCCGGTCCACTCTACTCCTGGAGTGGAGACGGAAGTCAGATGAGCTGTAATTTCACTGCCGAGAGCAGGTCCCTCGTATCTGGCCGCTGAGGTGGAAGGCTGAGGGGCCTCCATTCTATTTAGAACAAGTGCAGACCCAGGGAGTAGAGAGGCCAAGAACAAATTAATTTCTAGGTAGGAACTGAAATGATCTCTCAGTTCCCAGAGGGAAATGATCTTCCTAAACCTGCGCTGAAGATACGGAAGACCTCGCGAGCCAGAATGAATGAATTTCAGTCTGTGGAAAGAGTAAGAAAATGCAGAGCCACTTTCTCTTCCCCCGACTATTCTGAATAAAAATGCCATTAGCTTACTAAGAATTCTTTGAACAGTGCAGTTTAACTGGTGAAATTTAAAAGAATTCTGAAAAAGGACATCAATCCACGCAGATTTCTCAGGGAAAACACTCCAACCTTCGAATCGCAAAACTATCCACCAAACCTGGTGACAAGGTATTTCTATTAAAAACCAAAAGGAATGGCGAAGTGATAGAAGGGAAATTAACCCTTCAAGTGCTGAAATGCAAAATAATCATCAGAAGAGTAAAAGATTTATAACACACACTGTATGTAATTGAGATGATTATTTTTAAACCTTCCCTCTATCACAATATGTGGCGTTATATAAGCGGACCTCACTTGCCCATCATAATTTTAAATTATAATTGATGTGGATTTCATCAGTTTTTAAGTAACTCTTTTAATTCTTAAAATGTCATTGTAAGACATTACAAATTTAACAGTTCTATCTTTCTTTGTATCTTCACTATCCATCTTTTGAGTGAAGAGACAATAACTCCCTTCAAGCCTTAAGTAAACCCAATGTTACCAGAGTTGCAAAATTTGGGAAGAATAGTGATGTTTTTAGAATATTGACCCTTCAAAGCCTTGATCACATCAGTTGACCCTTTATAAAAAAGTAACATCTCCAATCTGTGTTTCTGGAACAGAAAAAACAAGGGGGAGGCGTGGAATGGAAAATGCGATGGACAGATTAGATCCCACATACAGAGCGTACTGCACTAGAAATTAAAACCATTCCACAGTGCTACTCTATTAGGAGCCTGTCCTACCGTACCAATAGTATTGTAAGTTTTGGAATGATGAGAATAAATCACATCAGTGCACCACAGTAAAATATCACAGCAAAGTGAAATCACTGCCGGGAGTCCCCCTTAGGCAAGACCCGTCCTAGGAAGAATCAGGACCTGGAGACTCACCTGCTCGTTTTGCCTCCACTCCCCCTGCTGCTTCAGCGATGGAACGGCCCACACACTCAGTTGCCCTGAGAAGTGAATGGCTGCAAGGAGAGTCCCGTCCGGGGAGAGGCTCATCTTAAAGATCCCGTCCTACACGAAAATTACATCACATTAGTGTCAGAGCAAAGGCTTGAGGCTCAACAGAAACAACCTCCAGAGTTTAATAACACCCTTTCGAGAGTGCCAGGTCGTAAATGGTCTCTCCTAATGACGAGTTCCAACACCCTCACGACATCAGAAATGTGCCCCAGCATATACAAACAGGACTCTTACCCTTAAGGAGAACTTTTAAATCTCTCTTATAGTGTTATACTTTGCATATCACGAAACCTAAAATGAGGGCATTATAAAAATATTCCTTAGTATCATGCACCAATAACCATAAGTTTTCAATAACTTTTATGGGCTGATGTTGAGTAGAACGTGAATTTCTTGAATTTGGGGTCCACATCTATAAAACTCTATATGTACCCAATGTCTGGCATATTCTGTACATCACACACGGGCCACGACATCATGCTGGGGAAGAGACAGAAAGGGAGGGGAAGGAAGACAGAGATGGAAGAAAAGAGGATCCAGCGTGATGGGAGTTAGTGCAGCCAGGGGAGAAATGCATTCCTTAATTTAGGGAACTCTCTGAATGTTTAAGATTTTCAGATTTGCTGGCAAATTACCCAATTTAGAGAATCTAATTGTTGCCACAGAGGAAACTTTGTATACACTGATTTTAGCCTCAGGGTACACATGACCAGCCTCAGGGCACAAAGAGCAAGTCTTGGCTTTTGAGTCCTACTTATCCAAATCTCTCAATCCCTTCCTTCGAGAAACCGGGTTTGCTCGGTTACCACGAGAGAAACTACACAAGCAGAAATACCACCTGCCTCCCACCTACCACAGAATCACAAGACTCAACCGAACACTAAATGGACATCCATTTCCCATCAATGGATTCGCTAAGGACAGGGTCCAAGGTAACCTAACCCCCAAGAATAAAACAGAGGCATGAACATGGTAGCCCGGAGCCTTCTTTCTCCTGAACATTTACAAAATCCAGCAACACAGGGCCCAGCACCCCCAGACGGCACTAATCGGGCAGGACGGGGTAGCACGTGCACCCTCAGAAGGGTCATGCCCCCACCATTCCCTACGGTGGCCCGAGATTGACGCTGAGTGTCAGCTACAAAACAAAAAACTAAGCATGACTAGACTGAAAGCCCAGAATTACACCCGACTCCGTTCACCGTATCATCCACACTGACCATCAGAAACAGACAGAACAGTTCTGGGAAGTGAGGCACATCACTGGATGAGCAGACAGGCGAAAACATTCGCACCCTCTAACCTCCCCGCATAAGGCCGCCCCAGAACCCAGACTTGGATGCAGCTCGGATTAAAGACAAACGCCGGGAGCAATGGGAGGGGGAAGCAATGAAAGCAGAGCCCCTGAAGCAGGGTTCTGAGGGCGGCACACCCCGGCCCCTGGGATGGAGGCGGGGGCGGGGGCAGAAGACCAAGGGCCTGGCACCAACAGGCCCCTCGGTTTCACGTCAAGGAAGCCCCAGAAGCACAGATGGGTGTGAGCTACAAGACCTCTCCACCCATCCTGTGGACTTCACGAAGAAGAAACTGCAGACCCGCGAGAGTTAGGGTGCTTGCCCCGGATCGTTCCAGTGTCGACAGCAGAGCCTGAACTAGGTGCAGGGCCCTCGGCCCCAGGCCCTGTCACTGCCACTGCACCGCGGTCACCGCCCCTCCTGGGCCCGCCCGGCCTTTCCAGCAGTCACAGGCATGCCCCTGGGTAGAGTGCTTTACGATTTCGGTCACCGAAATAATTAGCCGTATGTGACCTATATGGTAACTCCCAGGTATTACAAAGGCTCCATTAAACAACTGCACTAAAAGTACACACAAAGCAAGTAGAAAGTTTATGAATCTAGTTAACAATAACAAAGAAATGTATACTTGATAATGTGATAATTTAACAACAGCATTGTGACCAGGGAAATAATGAATGTACTAAACTTTCTTTTGATTGAATTCCTCCCTCTCTCGATTCCTCCTTCCTTTCCTTCCTTTCTGTCTAGACCCTTAAGCAATAAATATATTAACTAAAACGTTACCAATTGCTTTTAATGCGGTGAGTTCTTTGTCCCCTTAGTTTCACCTGGTGCTATGCTATCCACGCTGTGAACTCACAATCCTCGTTAAGCATTTGGCTGTACAGATTCGCACTCACCAACGAAAGTAGGAATATGGTACAGTGAATGCCCATGGACACAACAACCAGCTTAAACAATTATCAACACTTCAAGCTGTTTCATGAACCCTTCCCCAAGCACCAGAATGCCCCCAGGGATTTTTTTAAACAGCGAAACAGGCACATCTTCAGGGAAGGCCTGCACGAACTTCTGCCCGTGCGCAGGCCCACACAGAGCGCGCACGGCTGAGAGTGCACCCGGGAGAAGGAGGATGGCCGGACATCCAGGGTCCGTTGGACTCTGCCCGCCGTGGTGGTCTGCGGAGGGTATTCGAGAAGCACCGGGTTTTCAGTTCAAGAGTTACCTGTTCTTGTCCTGGACGGCTGTAAAGCTTCCCACTTAGCATCCTTAATAAGCCCAGCGTCTTCGGCACCTGCAAAATAAACGCACATCGTACAAAGAAAGATCAATGTAATGCTCTCTCACTGCATACAGTCCTTGGGTCGTAAAATGAAAACTATAGCAAAGGTCGTATTTAAAGTCACAGTAAAGAAAATCGTCAGTGTCAGAAATATTGGTGAGGCTTTTTTTATTTGAAAAAAAAAAGTCCACCAAGCAGTAAGTCTTACAAATATGCCCACAACTGAGCACTTTTCTAAATACACGTGTCCCAAGTCTGGTGTGACTCTGCACGTCAGAATCCACTCCCGGCTGCTCTCTGGCGATGCCGCCACAGGCCGTCACCCTACCAGGACCGCGGACACGGGCAGAGCTTCCAACAGAAGTTTCACTCTGAGGGAATTCTTTCCACACCAGAAAAGGAATCATCATTTAGAAACCAGGATTTGAAATGACACAAGATTCTTTGTGTCTTTAGATTTAAGAAATACACTTACAAAAGCAAGAGAGAGAGATGAGGTACGATTTTTAACAAGGAAAATAACAAGTGACGCAGGAGATGCGCGGGGTTGGGAGCCCTGGCCCCCTGCTGGAGGGGGGGTGCGAGGGCGCGGCCGCCCTGGGGAAAGGAGGGTGGGCCCTCACAAAGTCAACTCACAATCACCACAGGACCCAGCAACTCCGGCTGAGCACATACCCAAAGAATAAAGTGCAGCATGCACTCAAACACACACGTGTGCACGAACGTTCACAGCGACACCGTAACACAACAGCCAAACAGTGGAAACCACGCCAGTGTCCATTCAGTAACTGGATAAACAGGTGCAGTGCATACAGGGGACTACCATTCAGTCACACAAAGGGCCGAAGCACAGACGTGCTAGGGCTCGGATGCACCGCCAAGACTCTGTGCTGAAGAAGAGCAGCCAGACGCAAACGGCCACACTGCACGGTTCCACTCGCAGGAAGCGTTCAGAGCAGGCGGTCCACGGAACCTGAGGGCAGACCACGGGCTGCAAGGAGTTGTGGGGGTGGTGGGGGGGGGGGTAGAAGAGGGAGCTCAATGGGCACGAAGTCTCTTCTTGGGCTGATGAAAGTGCTTTGCGACGGAACAGCCGATGGATGCACAAAACTGTAAATGCTCCAAGTGCCACTGAACTGTACCCTTTAAAATGGTTATTGGTTAATAGTAGGTTACGTGAATTGTATTTAATTTACAAGCAAAAGGCAAAGAGGACAGGGTACTGTTCTGTTGAAGTGAACATTTTCCCCACCAGAGCTGAGTAGCTAAGACAGTATGACACCCTAACTCCCAGTATTTTCTCCAACCACAAGAAAAAGCAAGATGGGAAAAATAATTCTACATGAAAACTACGCCCACAGCTTAACCCGAAGACAGAAGACACACAAACTTGAAAATCACCTCAAGCAGAAGGAGAGGTCCCCAAATCCCGGGTGTCGCTCCCACCTGCTCTCACCCGGTGCCCACGACCCCCCGCAGGCCCACCTCGGGCCGGTGGCAGCCAAAGCAGAATAAGAAACTCCTGGAGGCCCACGGGGACAGACACGGGAAGCCGACACAGAGGCCCAAGGCCTCCCTAAGGTCACTTCCGAATTCATAACCCAAGAAATCTTTCCAGAAAGAGAAAAAGATCCAAATCTGTAACTGAAAGAGTCAATGGATACCGGGAAAATTAACCCAGAATGATCAACTCCAGGAAAAGCCCTAGGAAAGCTGTTAGATTTTGAAGATAAAGAAAATCCTTAAGGCCTCCAAGCAAAAGGGCCAAACAAGGTACAAAGGGGAAATAATTGAACTTACATCAGACTTTTCCAACTCCACATACCACACAAAGCAACAACAGACTAGTTTTTGTTTTTTTTTTCCTTTAAGTGCAATGGGGAAAAAAAAGGTAAACCAAGGATTTTACATCCAGACACATTGTCCTTCAGATCCGGGCTATGGACAACAATTCTGAACATACAAGAACTTAAGAAACTCTTCACCTACGAGCCTTTCACAAAACATCTACGAGAGGATAATTTCATCTGACCAAGAGATGCCTGGGAAAAGTTCAGCAAAAGGATACAGGAGCATTTTGGAACATGTAAATGGACATCCAAGCCTAAAAAAAAAATAAAACTGAAGGTAAAGGTAGAAATTAATGTGTAAATATGTGTTTTGACAGAGAAATAATACAACTAAAAAAAGGGAGGAGAAAGGAAAGGGAAATAGTAGAATAAACTAATTTTTGGGTAAGCAATTAGGAGGAATTAAAGAATGTCAGTGAAACTGACAAACTGGTACAGTACTGGAAGGCACTGACAGTACCAATAAGGGAGTATCGGTGGGATGATAGAGGTGAGCCCCCTCTCAGGTGAGTTCAGGAAAGCCTGGGAAGAGAGGGCGCAGAGACGAGGACAGGCAGCTCCTGAGCGTGCCGAAGGAAGGACTGGACACTGGGCGGCAGGCAGCAGGGTCCCGGGGAGTTCAAACCCCCGGGAGCTACACTGAAGGCTTTCTCCGGCGAGAAACGCAGAGGCACGCCATACGCTGGTAAATCTAACAGAGAGCAAAACCGATGACACAGGAACACACCCTCCGACGAGCACGCGTGAGACCCAGCTGGCCAACAGAAGGGCCAGCCCTCCCTGGCGCGAGGACAGCCAGCCGGGGCTACCAGGGGACGGAGGAGGCACCCAGGCACAGGTGCCGGCAGGCGGCGAGCCCCGACCCACGGAGAAGCTCTTCTCATCACCTCCCCCTTCTCAGGGCACTAGGATTTCTCAGGGAAGCGGGGTTCCATAAAGCTCTGATCTCTCCACAACATGCTATACTGGAAAAGCAGCATCAGTAACGAGAACTACAGTCAGTTTTGTTCACTTTACTTTTTTCTAAAATTTTGATCTTAAAAACAGAAATAGAGAATAGTTAACACCGTAGATCATTTTATGATTGATCGAGTACATTCACACATATTCCCTCATCCGACCCTGGCAAAAGCCCGGATACGCAGGGCGAAGTGACGAGCTGGAATTCCAATCCCAGCCCTCTGACTCCCAACCTGGGTCCGCGCCCGCCGCCCAGTGACTGCACTCTAACCCCTCATCTGCTACGGCTTCCCGACCTCAGCCGAGGACACAGCTGTACCCTCCAACACAGGGAAGCCCGGAGGGCCGCCTTGAGAGCTATTAACTGGGGCAGTGATTCAGTGTTGAACAAACGAGTAAGTAAAACTGCCTCACACCGATGACACCAACATTAATTCAGAAAGCTTGGTCAATACACGTATTGAGTTTTGCATAGTCTCTTTTACAACCTAGCAGCCTCGCAAGAGACCGGAGTATATGTCGGCAGCACTCTGTGGTCAATACCACCCCCAGCACAAGAGCAACCCCTAACAAAGAGCAAGAGGAGGCTCCGTGAGGACAGTGTCTGCCGTCTGACAAAAGGGACTAATTCTATTAATTCGAACGGCTTTGAGGTAGGGGAAGGCTATGGAGAATGACTGTAAGTTTAGCTGCAAGTCACGTTTAAAAGCCACTAACATAATTAATATATACTTGCAGCATTTCAAGAAGTTAATCATACAGCAGAGCATTCAACTGGCAATTCAATATTTTTCCCCACTTACTCTGTCGGTGCACAGGCAATTTTCTTTTAAAAGACTCTGATACCAAAGCTTCAGGGCAGAGAGGGAAGGGCCAGGCAGAGCAGAACAGATCCCAGCACGTCGGGAAGAGGCCAAAGCAGGCGCCCAGAAGGGCTCAGAGAAGCCACGGGGAGTGCGAGCACCGTGGCCCCCGCGGCCTGCCCTTTCCCAGGCCACGGCCACGATCACGCCTGGCCACGCGGCCCTGAGACGGACTCACGCAGGCCGCCCCCTTCATCTCTCCGGGGGTGCTCCACACCTCTCCGCCCCGCTCTTCCTCTTCCCCTCGCCTCCGGCGTTGACGCAGCGTGCCATGGCAACCGAAATGCTGGAAAGATCGTACAACGAAAGTCCAGCACGCCTTCCACTGGGTTCACCCGTTACTGACCTCCTGCCACGCTGACTTTCCCTGTGTGTATACATTCTTCTTAAAATTATTTTTTGACCGAACCATGTAAACACGACCTACAGACACCGCACTTCGAGTCAAAAAGCAAAGCCCTCTGACTTTGAACAGCTTTGCTTTTTGACTAAGTCACGACCAGGTCTGCCCTCACAGAGTCCACAGTTAAAACTGTAGCTGGACGTGAGTGCCAACAGAGGGAGGAGCCGGACCAAATCCCTGCGAACGTGGAACAGCATGCCCACGCCCACAGCGTACAAGTAGCTGCAGCCCCACTCCTCCTTACAGCCCACGGGATAGTCACCGCAGCGAAAGTGGGACGAGGCCGCCGACAAGTGTGCATTTTCACGCGGGGAATGAGGGGACGGCCACAAACAGGAACACGAGGCCCTGGGCCCACCCCTGTGCCCCCGTTCTTAGTTCTCAAGGTCTCCCGGGCCTCAGGCCCCCGGTCTGCAAGGGGGCCCTCGCCGAACCCTCCAGAGAGAACCAGCGGGTGCCAGACTCATGCAGTCTGGCGAGGAGAAGGGCAGAGGGGATGGGCAGAGGGGCCGGAGGAGCCCACGTCGCCGTCCTGCGTGTGACCGGGCCTGAAAACGCGGGCGGTTTGAGGGCCTGGTGCCACAGCGACCAGTCAGCAGGCCTAATTGATTCTTTAAAAAAAGTGCCTTGTTGGGTTAGATTTACAATCACATATTTCAATATGGGCTAAAAGCTAAAGAAAACCTTAGTGGAAGCTTACTATAATTGCTAAGGATTTCTTTGCAAAAGTACTTCTTTGTTAGCACCTTTTCAACACCAAACCCTTTAACCATCCGTGGTTTTAGAGGATTCTTTTGAAATAAATATATTTTAAGAAGAAATAATGGGACAAACACAGTCATTATAGGAAAAAAGACCCGTGTAACACACTCACTCACGCGGTGGGTCACGTTAATGGGCCCTTCCCCCCCGCCACTCGAAACTGTCGGGTGCCCGCCACGCGGCGGGCCACGCACAAGTGCAGGGCGTGCTGTCCGATCAAGCGTTTGCAGTTTACACAAATCACCAAGGCACACAACCTCACAGGGCAGCCACTGCGGCGGACACAGCAGTGGTCACCAACACGTAGTTGTCCTCGCCCTCCGCACACACGGAGAGCTACTCCCCAGACCCCCGAGAGCCCGAGGGGTCCCGCGACTGGCTGCAGTAAGTGAACTGAGAGCAGGCGTGGTATCAAGTCTGGGTGAGGACAGGGAAACGCTCCACCTTTCAGCCCTCTCCTCCCCTGCTAAGCCCGTAAATGGAGACAGTGGGACCTCGAGACAGGGCAGCCCCCGTGGACCCTGGAATCATTACAGGGAACAGGGTGTTTAGGAGAGTCACGGTGCCAACAGCAGGCTCAGCCAGCAATGAGGAATATGTCTTGGTGTCACAACCCAGAGAGATGTTGGATTTCTCATCCGTCTGTTTGCGGGACTGCTTTCATCATTCCGGACCCGAGCCCCTACCACTACAGCACACAGAGGCGCCGGACACAGAGTTGCAGCACGGGAGCTCCCGGACAGGGCGGGCGAATGAATGAAGGGTGGGAAGGAGGCCGTGTAAACATGAAACGAGATGGGAGGAGGGCACCTCAGACTCAGGAACTTGCGCAGGGCACCTCCTGCCAGTCGGTACCCTAGTTCTGCCACTTGCTGGCTGGACCAGGCGAAGGTACAAAATAAACTACACGTCCCTTTCGTCCTCAGGAGTCTCGGGCTGTTAACAACACCTACCCGAAAGGGTTACGAATAAATCCATGAGCTAAAACACCTAATAGTACTCAGAACAGCTGCAGCGCATAGAGAGCGCTTACAATCATACCGTCTAAATAAGTAAATGCAAGTAACTAGATTTCCGTTAGGACTTCTGTTTTTCTAGGAATGAGAACAAGTTACACAAAACATGCTTCAGGTAAGTCTGGCACTTGAGAGAAGCACTACGACTTCACCAGCAGTAAGTCATTCCCCTCGTTCAGGACAAATGACTCGCGCCCACCCCACCCCCCCGCCCCCGTACCTGACCACAGGCTCCCCTGCCCACGACCTGCTGGCAGAGGAAGCGCTGTAACTGGTACTCACCGCAGTGGCGCCGTCTCCACCGTGGGTGACCTGCTTGTAATGAGGGGACCCCGAGAGCACCCTCCAGGCAGAAAGGCCACAGCGAGAGGCTCTCGACGGGCCCCCTTCAGCAGATGCACATCCGCCCACCAGTAACAGCCTGAAACGGAGAAAAACAAAAAGAACTGATAAACTGCAAAGATAAACAAGACAACATCAGAGCAAAGAGCAGAAACGGTTACCTTCGCCAGGAAGACTACAGTAAAATTACTATGTACTACACCTAGAGGGTGAATATGTTAGATGAAACAAGCAAAACAAAACCAAGCGGTCTTTGGATTGCAATCTTTACCCTCACTCACGCAGGGGTGAGGCTTAGGCATGGAAGCACCTGAAACCCAGCTGGGGATTCGGAAACGAGAAAAACTGTTTTACAGTTGGCCACTGAATATCGAAGGGACTGTCTGTTATCAAACCAACGAACTTTCATAAACAGATGTGCCGCCTCACCCAGAGGCATAAACGAGGATGCTAATTGCAGCAGGGCACAGACACGATGAAGGCACAAACGGTGGAAGGGATGGCCGCTGGGGGTGCTGTGGGCGGGGCGGGGGGCGGGGTGGCCAGGACACTGGGGCGGGGCCAGGAGTGCAGCTGCGCAGGACGACTGGCTCGCTCCTCCGCTGCCTACGCCTTGCTGGCACGCAGAGCTCACTTTCCGGGCTAGGGAAAGCGGCCTAGACCGCTAGCACCAAAAAGCAAAGCTGCGGGACCACCACACCAACCAAGCGGGTTCACAGTGGAGCCCGAACAGCCGTGATCTGCCTTACTGAGGCTCAGCGTGCACACGGCGCTACCCTGGCGCCAGGTGCACAGCGAAAGACTCGACACGCGCACGTCCACTGCGAGACGGTCGCCACAGTGGGTCCGGTCAGCACTCCCCACATGCCGTTACCAACCGAGCTGCGCGGCCTCTGTGAGCGGGAGGAGGCAGGGAAACAGACCCTGCCTGGAGCCTGCAGGAAGAACAGCCTGGCCGACCCCGCTTGACTTCAGCTCAGGGGAACCCACTGCGAACTGGTCACCTCCAGGACAGTAAGGCCCTGCGCTTGTTTTAGCTGCCCGTGTTTTAGCAGCCGTCAGAGCGAGCACGGACCCCACTGCGCACCGGTGTCTTCCCAGCCCCCAAGCTCAGGCGGCCGGTCCAGGCCCCACCTCCCCCAACTCTCCTCGGCTTTCACCACTTACTTTCTTACCTGTTTCTGAACGGAGCCAACAACGGCAACACATCAAACAAACACAACACCTCGTCTCTACCACTGTACTCTCAGGTGGAAAACTCGAACGGCACAAAACAGGGAGACAGGGAGAGACAGGGAGCTTAGCCCAACTCAAATTCTCAAAATTCACAAAGCATCGTCGTCAATGTGCTTTATGCGCAGAAACACGCCCTGGGCCGTCACACAAAGCCCTTTTCCCGTTGCTTTTACGTACGGCTCTAACAAGTGTGCGTCACAGCAAATGGGAAGCAATACATTTTCAGAAGATGGCCTGAAGCAGCCCGTGTGGGCGGTCTCGACCCCGGGCCAACCTCCAGGGGGAAGACGCACTCAGCCCCGCCCACCAGGGCAGAGGAGACCTGGGTCCACAGTCAAGCCGGCAGTAGGGGCATGACTTTGACGAGCGCATGCGTGCTGCTCACATGATTCTCCTACACCAAGATCATTCCCCCCCTCCCCCAGAAAAGGTACGTTTACCACAGATAAAGTCATATGATTCCTCTGGGTCTAACTGCCCATTTAAAGAAAATACAGTTGACAAAAGAAAAACACTTCAAACAATCTATGAAGAAGTAATCTAACCAATGGGTAATCTAAAAATCCAGACAGAAAGAACTACAGGATAAATGGCCTGGTTTCTTCAGAACTAACTAACACTTTCTCTCTCTGGATGCGAAAGAATGTGAGAAGGAGAAAAACAGAGAGCAGATCAATGAATTAAGGGAGAACACAGCCTGGATGTTTGATAGCATTGACAAATGATTATTAATTATCTTCTAGTATGATAATGGTTTCATGTTTATGTTTTTTAGAGTCCTTATTTTTTAAATTTTTTAAAATACTGATTTACTTTTTTAGAGAGAGGGAACGGGAGGGAGAGAAAGAGGGAGAGAAACATCAATGTGTGAGAGAGACACACACAGCTGCCTCTTGCACACCCCCAACCAGGGACCTGGCCAGCAACCCAGGCGTGCGCCCTGACTGGGAACTGAACCGGCAACCTTTTGGTTCGCAGGCCGGTGCTCAAGCTACGGAGTCACACCAGCCAGGGGGTGGAGCCCTTATTTTTTTAGATGTACGACTGGAATATTTAACAAAAATAACATGCTTTCAAGGATAACTGAGGCTCAGGCAGGCAGGAGAACGCCCAGGGGTGCAGATGAAACGAGACTGGCCGTGAACTGGCTGTTGAGTGGAATGACAGGAGGAAAAGACCCGTTATTCTGCCCTCTCTGTGAATGTGCTTCCGATGTTCCATGAAGAGTGTTTTTTCAAAAGTCAGCTCATCAGGAAAAACTTCTCTGAATAAATAGAAACAAAACAGGCAATTTTGAGGATCTACATTTCCAAATTTAATCAGTGTTTTTTCCAAACAGAAAAGTTGTCATTCATAAAACATGCCCCCAAAAAGGCAAGATACAGCAGATCCTGATACCTTAATTGATTTGCATCTGATGAATGTACAACACACATGTTTACATCGACAGGGTCATTCTTTCCTCAGTGGACTGAGCATCATCGTTTAATCTGCACTGCGTCATGGAGCGGACAGATGTCGCGTCTAACTTTCAGTTGAAAAAACAGACACATAAAACTTTAAGCTGCCTGACTACTGAAGGAGATACAGGGCTGAGACTTCAGATCCGTTATTTCCTGGTCTCGTGCCTAGAAAGCACTTCCTCTTACAAAATTTCTCACAACTATCGTGGCCATGCAGAGCTCAGGCTGGCCACAATATGACAGGATCTATGACAAGATCCAAAAGAACAAACGTGACTCAATGTCTGCTTCCAAACGACCCCTCCTCCAGTCAGGGCAGACTGGAGAGAAACGGGGAAAAGAGGGAGAACGAGGGACCCAACCATGTGCTGTCCCCGCCAGCCGGGGGGCAGCCTGGGGACGCCGGTGCTCCAGCTACACGGACACGCGTGTGTTCACACGTGTGTACGTGGAGTTGAGGGGGACCTGACAGACTTCAGCAGCACGTGCACAGACTGGGTCCCACAGACACTCGGGAGAAATTCCTGCACCGGTGTCTTTGTCTCCGGGTAAAAGAGTGTTTCGTGCACTATTTACAGAGCAGGAAAATTAGGAATACTTTAAGTTAATTGAGGGCATGAGTAAATGAACTCAGTAGATTGTTCAGGGAACCGTATGCAATGTAATAAGAATACAAAATACATGTTGCAAGGCCGCACACCGAAATCATGAGCGCGGCTGCCTCCAGACAGGGGAAGCGAGACAAAGAAACGGAAGGAGGAAATCCTCACTACTGTCTCCCTTTCATTTATATGTCCGTGTGTCTGTGCACCACACACACATCTTTAGTAAAGCAGATAACCTTAATATTTGTCAATTATGGGCAGGAGGGACTAAGGTGTTCATTATAGCATCCCTTTACTTTTCTCTCTTTTTTTAATTTAAAGAGGAGCATCAAAATACACTCACAAATTAAGTGCATAAATATTTTCCAATTAATGGAGTCCACGAGAAAAAAATTCCGTGAATTGGTTTTTACTCTTAGCATCAACCCACAAGTCTGGTCAAATACTGAAAATAAAATTAGCACATAATTTGTTTTGTGACATTTTGAGATAGTTTATATGTTAATGGTTGTATCTAAGCATTCTGTGGTTTGCTAACTGAAATGACTGTTAGATTGTTGCAGAAACTGCATTCACAGACAGACAACGCTACAGAAAATAATTTATATGGTTAACCTTATTTTGTGTTGCAGTAAGTTCCTCCACCCAGAATAATTATATGTAGTATTAGCCAGCATCTCCTTGAATACACAGGGTGTTTGGCTTTTATGTGCTTCCTTAAAGAATCGCATTTTAAAATAAATAATTGTTTTAAAATTATTCTATAAAGTATACAGCAAAGCAGGATTTCCACGGTACAAATTACATTTTTTATGCCAAAGCACATGATGTGTGGGAGTTAAGCTTAAGTTCTTGATAAAAATGGGGGTAGGGACGAGAGAAGGGGAGGAAGGGAGAGAGAAGTGGGGGGGAGAGAGAGAGAAATTAACTTTCCCAATAATCTTTCACCTCAAAATTTTGTGGAAAGTAAGAGCATCGTGGGCCTAGGAATCAGAGCCACCAGCTACGCCCTGCATCCACCAGTGCTGACCAAACGCGAACCGAGTGCTGAGCGAGGAGGGCTGGGCTAGGCGACCGAGGAGCCTGCCCCATAAACCGCGCACAGTCCTCCCTGCAGTCAGTGCGCAGTGCCGCGTTCAGCTCCCCCGTCCTCCGCCAGCGGCCACGGCGTGGCGGTCAGGGGTGCGGATCCTGTCCTCCCTTTTCTCCCTCTGACCCCCTTCAACGTGCATCCCTACATGGGAATGACAATGCGCACCGCCCAGCCCAGGGGAAAGGACAGGTCCACACAGACCGTGGGTATGCGGGACCTCTCGCTTCCACGACCTTTGAGCTGGGCACGATACCGCCCAAAGGACAGACAACTGCGTGGAGGAAGAGGCCAAGGAAGGCTCTTCCGGGGAGAACAGTCTGTCAGTTAAACAACTCCCCAGACAGAACGGGGACCAGGTACAGGGCTTCCCAAGCCAAGGGAACCTGATGCACAAGAGCTCGGAGACCAGTTTGTCAACGGCGCGCTCAGGGCAAGATAAGAAACGCAGGGGGCGCTTCTGGTCTGTACAGGGCGAGGAGGGCGAGCAGGACAGGAAGTTCAAAGGGGTTGGTAACAATGCGAAACGGTCCACCCTGCTCCCTTCCTGGGCACTCACCACCACCGTCCACCTTCCACACGGTAACAGTCACTTAAATGGACCTCCATCGCTACCCACTGGGCCACCCGGGCGCGGCGACTGCCTGTACCCTCACAGCACATACCAGAGCTGCCTCACTCAAGG